TGATGTCTGCCATGTACTTTTGTCAGTTTTTAATTTTTTTTTATTGATGATCACTTTGTTGGTGCAACTAAATAAATTAATTAATTAAAACTATATATAAAAATAAAAGTAGTGCCAACCCTAGCAAATTTCTCATTTCATCCCAATTAACCGCAATTTTCGGGTAAATAGGGATTACACCTATTTTTGCATTTTTTGCCTAAACTGGGATGCTAGTTGCTTATTTTTAAATTGGACAACAAAGATGCCCCCAAGACTCAATCATTTTGATCCTGATATAGCATTATATACATCAACAACTACCTTAAAATTGCTCATAAAGTTGGAATTTGTCCCTAATCGCCCCATTTTACGGTACCGTAACTACATAATTTAGTACGTACCTTTTTTTTTTTTTTTTTAATTTTATGACCTGGTGACAAAGACCTTTAGGTCATATCTTATTTGGAAAATGTTCATTGCTTTGGGGTCACTACACTTCACTTCACTAAATTTTGTCATTTAAATTGTTTGAATTGTATTTTTTATGTAATTATAAATTGGTTTATAGGATGTTGGATCTTTTAGTAAAAAGTTAAGTGGCGGCGGGCGGGAAGAAGAGACACACTTAAATGCATTGGTATCACTAAGTTCACTAGCCAGCACAAGTCTTTGAATTATGAAACTTTGGCAATCGAAAATAATGTGATGGATCGTCCCTTCTCTTAAATATATTAAGTGTATAATCTATGGTCCCTTCTTCTGCTTGACAGTGTATACATTGGCTATTTGAAACAATGCCAAGTCTTGCTAGGTGTGACGGCGCAGTATTATGGCCAAATCTCAATCTGTTTATTGTTGTGATGAAATCTCGACTTTCACTAGTTTTCAATTTGTCATACCATGGTTTAACAGGCAGGTTATCTTGTATACTTCCATACCACTTTCCCTTGTTTTCCTGATCTTTCTTCCACAATTCCGTCCACAGAGTGTAAATATTTTCTTTAATATTTAGAAAATAGTCAGTGAAAAGTACGAGTAATGAGTCTGTAACGTCAATACTGTTTATAGCCTCACGTGCAGCTTTGTCAGCTTTTTCGTTGCCCGTTATGCCTCTATGTGAAGGAACCCACATAAATGCTATATTTACATTCTTATGATGATATTTATACAAAAGCTCTTTTATAATATACAAGACGTAATTAGTTTTATAATTTACAGATATATTACT